GCGGGAGGTCTCTCGTCCGCACGCCGCATGGGCGCGTCGCGGCGGGGACGACCGCGCGCGTGATGTCTCTCGTCTGAGCGTCGCATGGGCATGTCGCGGCGAAGGTATCCGCGCAATCGTTGTTTCGCTTCACCACGCGGGATGTCTCTCGTCCGGGCGCTGCATGGGCACGTCGCGGCGAAGACATCCGCGCAATCGTCGTTTTGCTTCACCGCACGGGATGTCTCTCGCCCGGGCGTCGCATGGGCACGTAGCGGCGGAGACATCCGCGTAATTGTCGTTTTGTTTGGACGAGGTCGAGTCCTTACACGCTCACCTCGTCATCATGCACCGCCGAGTCACACGCGCTCGGGGGTCACAATCTCAAGCGGGAGGTCTCTCGTCCGCACGCCGCATGGGCGCGTCGCGGCGGGGACAACCGCGCGCGTGATGTCTCTCGTCCGGGCGTCGCATGGGCACGTCGCGGCGAAGGTATCCGCACATCCATAGCATTGTTTGGACGAGGTCGAGTACCTACACACTCATCTCGTCATCGCGCACCGTCGGGTCACCTACACTCACGGGGCCCTTGGACACCGCCGTCTCGGCGTATCACCACTCGGGTATCGCCGAACGGTAGGACCTTACCGCCGCCTTGGCGTATCGCCTTGTTCCTCCCGCCATCGCGGAGGGCTCGTTGGGTGTCGCCAAGCGGCCGGACCTCATTCGGAGGTTCCGAACGAACTCGCATCCTTGATCCAGGGGGGCTCTTGACCCCACTCATGTTCGCATATTGTCTCCGATTTGTTACCAAAACTAGATCAAATGCGCTCACTCTCGTCGTGGATCAAATCGAATTTCAATCGACCTTGTTATACCTCGTCAAATTTGTACAATCTCGTTGCTTCACAGAGGATATCAGTAGCTTAAGACGCAATCAGAGTTGCTCCAAACCTCTGCGAAAACTCGCCCCCTTCTTGGATGGTCGCGGAGTCCTCAGGGTGGGCGGCAAGCCTACCCATTCCGCCATCTCATACAAGGCTAAACACCCCGCATTGCTGTTTAACCGACATCGACTCACGGAACTTATAGCAGCGCGCACCCACCGCCTACATTTGTATCCGGGACGTCGAGCGTCACATTACATCTTGGCACAAAACTTCTGGATCCTAGTAGAAGCTATCCTGAACTCCAGACCCCTCTGTCCCACCAGTTCAGATTCCAGCGACCTTGGGGTGCTCTCCCCGGGGTATATCCTCACCCTGGAGTCTCTCATGGCGGTTCCACACCCTGACCTGAACCCGGTGCCGAGAAACGGACTCGATCGGTGGCAAATGGTGCAACACATGCACCAGCAGTTCTGGAGGGGGTGGCATGACGAGTACCTACACACCCTCCAACAACGACCGAAGTGGTTGCAATCGGCACCTACGGTAAGAAAGGACACATTGGTCCTGTTAAAGGGCGAAAACGCCCCTCCCTTGCAATGGAGGCGAGGGCGAATCGTGGAGCTGCACCCGGGCCGCGACGGCGTCGCTCGGGTCGCTACGGTGCGGACGACGGATGGCGTGCTTACCCGTCCTCTGGTGAAGTTGGGCCCACTGCCGATGGACACTTCGCCAGAGGAACCTATTTAAGCGTAGAAAATACGTCGTATCTTGGTGGGCGGTATGTTTGGCGTATCGCCTTGTAAATAATATAGTTACTTCATGTTCATGTATTCATGTATCGTTTATACTTAGTTGCATAAGTCGTTTGTAATTCTCGCGCGAAACGTCGGCGGATCGCGATCAGCCAAATCATGCGACTCACCTGTCGGTGCTGCCATCGCCCATCCGCCGACGGTATCCACCCCCCCGGAAAGGGAACAACTACTCGCCGCAGCGACATGTTCCAGGACCGCGGGGACAGAGCATTCGCAAGTCAGCCGTCCTACGGCACACACATTTTTGGCCAGCCGTCTTACGGCATACAAGCATCGTCAAATAGTCGGAGAGGACACACCTCTCAGCAGAAGCATATATTAGCAATCCAGCCGTCTTACGGCAAACACACGTTTTGGACAGCCGCCGTGCGGCACACACACATATTCTAAGAGCCGTCTTACGGCCCACGTTCGCCGAGCAGAACGCGTCTCGAAATCGCCTTTGCCGCCTTGCTCAACCGGGAGTGCGCACGTCTCCAACTGCCTTTTCCTGCCTGCTCTATCGCTTGTTCTCCACCGTTTTGCTTGCTCGCACGAGTTTTGCCACCGCATGCCAAAAGAGACCCACGGAGCGGCCAAGTTCAAGAGACAGGACGAGGATTGACGGAATCACGGGGACGACGGCCGACACGGTGAGTCGCTTCGCTTAATATTTCGTTGCATACGTTTCTGCTTTCGCGTTAAACATTGATAGTCGTGAGGGGAAAGCGACAACCCCCCTCTGGTCCTTCGAGTATCGCAAATCTTGCCTCCGGGGCGAAACTATCCCCGTTCATTGGTCCTTCGAGCCGGATTTCGCGTTAGAAAATTACCGCCGACCTTTCGCTCACGTCGCATTATTCATTAACTTTTTAATTTTCGCACATTCTTGTAATCGCGCATCGTGATAACACGTGGCGCGTGGTAGCCTCTCGCGATATCTTTCGTTCGCAATTCTTAATTCGCGACGAGAATACTCGCGTGAACTTCTCGCTGTCGTAACCATGCCATTGCTGTTATCTGCCTTTGCCGTAAATACGCTTAATTGTTTGTTCTCATAGTCGCGAGATGCAGTAACGCGCGGCGTGTTAATAATCTTTAGTCTCGCGCGATATCTCTTGTTCGCAATTCTTAATTCGCAGCGAGAATACTCGCGTGAACTTCTCGCTCGTCGTAACACGTTCCGTCGCTGTTATTCGCATTAACGCGAATTGCAATAACGCGTGGCGTGTTAATAATCTAATTAACTCGCGGCGAGAATATTCGCGTGAATCCACGATCTCGCGCGATATCTCTCGCTCGCAATTCTCTCGCTCGTTGTAACACGTTCCATCGCCGTTATTTGTACTAATCGTAAATTGCGCAATTGACGCGGTAATTAGTTAAAGCCCGTCATTGTTAACATAGAAACCGAAATATTCAGATCTCGAATATTCTCGAGCTGGCCATACGTTTTCGCCGCGCCGTCGACGGCCTTGACGCTCGGTCACGGGCCGGCAGCGTATGTACACAGTTTTTCTACATAAGCTCGCGTTCCATAATAACGCGCTACATTATTTTCGTTGTTGCTGGGTGTGTTTCGGCCAGGCTCGAAATACATATTGAAAATACACACTGAAACCATTATTCCGATCGTTGGAATTCTCGCAAACATAATTGCCACCGATCGAATATACTGTTCGTCGGCACTGGTCCCCGGTATAGAATATATTGCATCACTCAAGGTAATCTTATTAAAGATTATAATTACAATTACAATCACAATTGCAACAAAGTTGGCGTAATTGATGCTCATGTCGTGGATTATTGCTCGTGTCAAGTGTGTACTGCTCATGTCGTATACGCTGCTCGTGTCGTAGTTCCGCGCACAACATGTATTGCTGAAAACTTAATCTGAACAAATACTTGAGTGCATTTCTCGCCGTAACCGGGCACCTGTGCCAACCTCATTGATAATTTTGATCATTTTTTTATTTTGTACATCCCTTGCAACCCTCTTCCTTGCTAGCTCTACACTGCACTTGATCCCCTTTTCTTGCGTTCGCCATTCGCTCTTGCGATTAAAAAACTTGTCATTTTTACTGCGCTATTATATCGTAATTGAAAAACATTCTCTCGTGAATAGTCCATTGAGCCTTCGCGTAGGAATCCGAGCCGAGCCATCGGTTATTCCTCATCACCTTGACGAACGGAACGGTTGTTTGTTTTCGTTCTCTCTTTCGTCCCCTCGCATAAACTCGAAGCCTATTATTCGCCGGTATTTTCACGGGGCGACAATACACTACGCGTCCTTGGGATCGTTCGCCGTTGCTGTTGATCGTTTACATATCAACCAACATGTCGAAATCAAAATCCGCTCCCCCTTGTCGCGAGTTATGCGTCCGGCGGATGCGGGAGATTTATGATCTTGCCCGGAAGGCCTCGTCCGAACCGACGATCCTAGAGAGTTTTCTTGCCCGCTATCCGAGCGTGGCAAGAATCGCCGAGGATTTTGAGAACGCGCATCTAAAGCTTATACAAGAGACTACTGAGTTCGACGCCGAGGACGCGATTCGGGCAGACTTCGATAAAATGCATTACGCCGTGAAGGGACGGTATCACGCGCTCACGGGCACGACGCCCGGAACCGCACAGGCTCAATCCGCGAGCCACGCGTCGGCGATCAAGTTACCCAAAATTACGCTTCCGCAATTTTCGGGCGATCTTACGCTGTGGCCGTCTTTTATCGCCTTGTTCAACACCTCGATTCACGACAACCGACAGATCTCGTCAATAGAGAAGTATCAATACCTGCTGGCCTCGCTAAAAGGGAAGGCGCTCAATGTAATCAAGAATTTGCCCCTCGCCGCGGAGTATTACATGATTGCATACGACGCGCTGCTCGACAGATATCGAAACAGAAGGAAGCTAGCGGACCACCACCTAAAGTCGATATGCGAAGCCAAACCGTTAAAGATAGAATCGGCCGATGCCCTCCATAAATTATTAGATACGTTCACCGAAAACACTCGCGCGCTAAACCTGATGAAGTTCCCTACCGATTCGTGGGATTTCCTTTTGCTCAATTTCCTGCTCGAGAAGCTTCCCCGATCATTGCGGGAAAAGTTCGAATCTGTCCATCGGGCCGAAGAGATACCGCGATACGCTCAACTCATCAAGTTTCTTTCCGAGCACTGTAAAGTACTTGAGGCCATCTCGGGTCCGTCGACCATGCCGTTCAAATCACAATCGTCCGCGTCGGCTTCGTCGCTTGCAACTCGAACCGCCGACTGTCCGGTGTGCGAGGAACAACATCTCGTGTTTAAGTGCCCTCGATTCTTGAAACTATCCCCCCGAGAAAGGCATTCAACGGCCAAAACCGCGAATTTGTGTTTCAACTGCCTTCGCGCGGGTTATGGCGCTAACAACTGCACATCGACGGAGACGTGCCGGTCGTGCCAGGCAAGGCATCATACCCTATTGCATTTCGGACGGAATTCGGGTCCAGCGGACACCCCGGATACCGGAGCCTCCTCCGAATCAGCCGTCGACGGGAGTTCGTCGCCACAAAATAATGAACCCTTCGTCACCATGGCTAGCGTCGCGAAATCAAGTTCGACAGTATTATTGTCAACGGTGCAGGCCGAAGCTCTCGACGTTCACGGAAATCCCTTCCCTGTTCGCATTCTTTTGGATAGTGCCAGTCAATTAAATTTCATTTCGGAAAATTGCATGAAAAAGGGTGGTTTCAGACGAACCAAGTGTCGTACGGTAGTTCTAGCGGTTAATGATACTAAGGCGGCTGCCACTCGAGGTAGCACCTCACTCGTGATTCAAGTACAGGGTAATGGCAATACTCGCGTTCCGATAGAGGCTACGATTCTCCCACGCATCTCCGCCCAATTACCTAGTAGACAAGTCGAACAAAGAGCGTGGAAACACATAGAGGGATTAAAGCTCGCGGATCCGCAGTATCATCGACCTGGTCCCGTCGACCTCTTAATCGGCGCAGATATCTTTGCCTC